AATATATTAATATATGTTCCCGACATACAATTTTTCTCAAACTTGGTTCGAGGTTACTTCACAATATGTTCTTCTAGGATATTTTATTCAAAAGTGGGGCACGTAATCGAAAAGTCCAAAATTTTGGGTTAAAATGCCGATATTCACTAATTTTGATGTAAAACTCCTGTTTGGGCCATGTTTAACAATATATTAATATATGTTCCCGACATACAATTTTTCTCAAACTTGGTTCGAGGTTACTTCACAATATGTTCTTCTAGGATATTTTATTCAAAAGTGGGGCACGTAATCGAAAAGTACAAAATTTGGGGTTGAAATACTGATATTTATTAATTTTGATGTAAATTCCTGTTTGGGCCATGTTTAACAATATATTAATATATGTTCCCGACATAGAATTTTTCTCAAACTTGGTTCGAGGTTACTTCACAATATGTTCTTTTGGGATATTTTATTCAAAAGTGGGGCACGTAATCGAAAAGATCAAAATTTTGGGTTAAAATGCCGATATTCACTAAATTTGATGTAAAATTCCTGTTTGGGCCATGTTTAACAATATATTAATATATGTTCCCGACATACAATTTTTCTAAAACTTGGTTCGAGGTTACTTCACAATATGTTCTTCTAGGATATTTTATTCAAAAGTGGGGCACGTAATCGAAAAGTACAAAATTTGGGGTTGAAATACTGATATTTATTAATTTTGATGTAAAATTCCTGTTTGGGCCATGTTTAACAGGATATTATTATATGTTCCCGACATACAATTTTTTTCAAACTTGGTTCGAGGTTACTTCGCAATATGTTCTTTTGGGATATTTTATTCAAAAGTGGGGCACCTAATCGAAAAGTACAAAATTTGGGTTAAAATGCCGACATTTATTAATTTTAATGTGAAATTTCTTTTTGGCCATGTTTGACAATGTAATATTATATGTTCCCAACATATAAATTTCATAAAACTTGAATTAGGATGACTTCAATATAAGTTCTTTTTTTATATCATCTTCAAAAATCTGCCCGGCCATCGGAAATTACAGATAAGTTTTGTGTAATTCCGAGTGTAGCAGAATTTCGCCGTAAATCTGGCAAGTACTTTGCAACTAGCTTTCCTTTTTTCCGATGCGGCATTTGAGTGCCATGTTAAATCGTTTTCTGGCAACGCTATTTCACCGTTCCGAAAACGAGAGAGATGTCCGCTGAGAGATGTCTGCTAGGGTAACTTTGGTACCGTAACCGGACGAGAAGCCGGGGTTTGCCATATGATTAAGCCGTCTCATCACCTTTCCTCATCCTAATACTTCTGTACTGTAATAGAAATGTGGTGGCGAGCGTACCGTATTCCTAACGCTTAGCACGATGAGCCGCGCCAATTCTGCAATTGGTACCGGTATTTCTGTATTCAAGAAACTCAGAAATAAGATACGTGAAATAATAATGTACCGATATCCCTGGCATTCTAGCCAAAGTGAATTAATCCTGTACGGTACCGGTAAACAGTCTTTGCCCATTCACTACTTAGCACAGATATGGTACCGGTACCGGTACACATTCAAAAATAGTACGGTACGTACCGGTACCGCACCTAACGTTTATTATTGTCAACTTCAACCGGAAAGTAAAGTTCAACCACCACTTCTTCGTTCGCGACATCTGGTGTTACGGGGGCTACGTGTTTTCCCGAGCCCTTGATCGTTTCCTTGATTATTTCCGCACAATGCCAAATCAGCGATAAATGACGTAACAATGTAAATTTATGTGTCCTATCCATTGAGGTGTATATAACTAGAGAGCCCATAGGAGCAAAAATTTTGTGCCGAATTGAAGGTCGCGGCGGCCATCTTGGTACGCGCGATTTTCTGCTTGCGGATGCAGTGAGTATGTTGGATTTGCTGTGTCAGTGGTGCAAAATGTAAGATAATTTGAGGAAATTCATCGTTCTGCGCGTTGTAGTTGATTTTCACGCTATTGTTGGTGGTTTAGCCATTAACTTGGAAACGGATAACACAAAACGTGTATGCACATGAGTTGAAGAATCAAGTGTTGAAAGTCAGGTGGGTACGGTGCCGTACCGGTAGAATTTATATAGCCTATGTGATTCGGTATAGATACCGGTAGTAATACCATGACACCTAATATACGGAAGCATGTTCTCTAAATTAAGTCGACTGAAATGCACGGTTTTGTCAAATTGCTGACATACCGTACCGGCACTGGTACCGTATTATTTGCTAACTAGGTTGTGCTTGTTTCTGATGTGTTTATACATAATGCAATGGCAGTCTAGGTCTGAATCAATGAACAAGCTCAAATTGGAATCTGTTGAATACCAGTAGACATTATTTGTTATGACTAATTTTGCTTTTCATTTAAAAATAAATTTTAGCAGAGAAACAACGTTCACCCATGTAAAAGCGAAATACCAGTACCGGTAAGTCATCTAGCAAGCAATCTGAACCTAGTAAGCCATTTCCCTTCAAATTTGAATTATTATATGGTTCTTGTTGTGTAGTAATCGCTCTTCTGTTTATCAAGCCTACAGTATCAAATGATTCGAAATTTTCAGAGGAAAAGATTGTTATTGTCGCTAGAAGGCTATTACTTTTACTTGAACAGAGAAAATACAACAAAGACTTATCCCAATTTAGGCTTTCCGTATCAAAATATGTTGATTACAAAAATTCAGTTTTGATATCATATTTATGATTATATCGCATGAAAACAAGTAGTTGTGAGCATAACGCCACTGCTTTAAAAATCATTATCCCTTTCGTCTCTGCTTACATATGTGGACATGGGTTTTCTACACATGTTCAAATTAATACGAAAACAAGGAACAAACTTGGTGTGCAAGATCACATGAGATAAATAAGTACATGTGCGCTATTTTTGTTAAGTGGCAGTGGCAGCTAATTTAAATGTCGTCTGAATAGCACTATGCTATGTTATTCTAATGTTTTTTTTTCCGGTTTGAAAATTTTGCGGGTTCGCAGATACTTCAGAGCAGCATAGGCCCCCAGCGGATAAAGGTTGAGAACCACTGGTTTAGTCATCTTGCACTTTGAAGTTTTATCAGTAGCCCATAATAATGCTATATATTACGGCATTATTTTTTACTACCTAATACCTTTTGCATTATGTTTGAAAAAATCGTAAACACCTGTATCGTTTTACATTTCAGTTCACCACTTCACGCAAGCCCCAAGCTTGTCGTACTTCACCGTTGAAACTGATATTCCAAGTGAAGTTGAGACTTGTGAACAGAAATATATTTCCCCTATCATCCATGACCATTCTTACAGCTGCGGTACAAGTCTTCACAGGTTTTTTGAAAGATTGGAAATAAAAACAGAACAACTGGAGACTGTTGGGAAAAAGCTGAAAGTCCCCAAGCTAAAGTCAGAGCGACTGTAAATAATACTTCAAAACAACAGTGTTATAAAATCAATACAAGAAAAAAATTTAATCACCGCTAGAAGTGAAGAACTTCTAGGCTGCAGTCCTGCGATTTTTAAGCGAATCCTTGATGGGCCCACCCACATAAAAATACCTTCCTGAATTGAAAGCATTTGCCCTTAATTTTAACTTTTATTCTGCTAATTCCTACCTATTTGTAAGGCATACATTTAATCTAGCTTATATCCTCCCATGTCAAATTTGGCACTTAAATTCCAAAATTTCAGCAGAGCCTGGGTTTACTTAGCTTAGTATGCCATATTCACTTATTTCTCTTTTTACACGTACCTATAAATTTCAATTTCGCATATTTTTAGTATGCCATCTTTGCTTATTTCTCTTTTTACACGTCCCTATGAATTTCAATTTTGCATATTTTTAGCATGCCATATTCGCTTATTTCTCTTTTTACATGTCCCCATGAATTTCAATTTCGCATATTTTTAGTATGCCATTTTTGCTTATTTCCCTTTCTACACGTCCCTATAAATTTCAAATTCGCATATTTTTAGTATTTGCTTATTCCTCTATTTACACGTCTCTGTAAATTTCAATTTTGCATATTTTTTAAATGCCATATTTGCCTATTTCTCTTTTTACACGTCCCCATCAGTTTTAATTTTGCATATTTTTAGTATGCCATATTTGCCTATTTCTTTTTTTACACGTCCCCATGAGTTTCAATTTCGCATGTTTTTAGTATGCCATATTTGCTTATTTCTCTTTTTACACGTCCCTATATATTTCAATTTCGCATATTTTTAGTATGCCATATTTGCTTATTTCTCTTTTTACACGTCCCTATAAATTTCAATTTCGCATATTTTTAGTATTTGCTTATTTCTCTTTTTACATGTCCCTATAAATTTCAATTTTGCATATTTTTAGTATGCCATTTTTGCTTATTTCCCTTTTTACATGGCCCTATAAATTTCAAATTCGCCTATTTTTAGTATTTGCTTATTCCTCTATTTACACGTTCCTATATATTTCAATTTTGCATATTTTTAGTATGCCACATTTGCCTATTTCTTTTTTTACACGTCCCCATGAGTTTTAATTTTGCATATTTTTAGTATGCCATATTTGCTTATTTCTCTTTTTCAACGTCCCCATGAGTTTCAATTTCGCATGTTTTTAGTATGCCATATTTGCTTATTTCTCTTTTTACACGTCCCTATATATTTCAATTTCGCATGTTTTTAGTATGCCATCTTTGCTTATTTCTCTTATTACACGTCCCTATAAATTTCAATTTTGAGCATTTCAGCTGTCACACTGCACAACTGGCAGCATGACAAAAATAGACCTTTAAACCAAAAATCAATCAAGTTCGGTATCTTACGTATTACTTAATAGATATTAAACAGGACCTTAATTTAAAATATTCCGTATTATTGAATTTAAAACATCGGTTCAATTTGGCGGTTCAAGATTCTATAATACCCCCCCATGATTGATTCTCTAGGACAGTACTTTAGATTTCAGACTTAAAATTGTCTACTCTAAGAACGGTGTATCTCAAATAGAACGAGAGCTTGCAAACTTTTTTTAAGTTTTAATTGCATTACAAATTATAAACAATGCAGAAATGAAATGAATGTGCTTTGTGCTGTGTATTGAAACTAGTATAAAAGCTGGTTAATTGAAGAAACTGGAGACACTTCAGGAGTAGGCAACAAATGACTTGATTCACTTCACACTTTCACCTAGTAGTTAAGATATTAAAGTTGGAGGTAAAATGGCTTACTGGTATTTTGCTTTCACATGGATGAATGTTGTATTTCTGGTAACAGTTATTCAACAGTTTCCAATTTGGGCTTATTCAAACCTAGACTGACATGGCATTAGGTATCAGGGTATTCCAGGGTGGTCCAAGATTGGCAGCTCCGCAGGCCACAATAGTGCCAAAAACTTTGCTCGTTTAACTTCGCTAGTTGCCTCAGCAAGCTAACACTAGTCAATTCAGTGACATTAGTGATGCAACAATATGTTAAAAGATTTTTTGGTTAATTTTATGACGAAACAACAAAAAATGCGATTTTTTGATTTCTCTCCAAATGCGACATGGGCAACATGTAGCCTGCGGGCCTGGGCTTGGACCACCCTGGTATAGACCCATCAGAATCGAGCAAAACCTAGTTAGCAAAGCATCATTAGCTATTGCAGTATTGAGATATAGTCTATTAGGTACCGTACGGTATTTCAATAATCTTGCAAAGTCGTTCATTTCAGCCGACTTAATGGACAGAACGTGGTTCCATATAGTAGGTGCCATGGTATAACAACCATTATCTCTACCGATCACACATAAATTTTACTTGTATTTCACAAGCTAGACCAAATACAGCACCGTACCCACCTGGTTTCCAAAACTTGATTCTTCAACCTCTATGCATACACGTTTCGTGTTATCCTTTTCCAAGTTAATGGCTGAACCAACAACAATAGCGTGAAAATCCATTTCAACGCGCAGAACGATGAATTTCCTCAAATTATCTTACATTTTGCACCATCGAAACGGCGATTCCAACCCACTCACTGCATCCGCAAGCAGAAAGTCGCGCGTACCAAGATGGCCGCCGCGACCTTCAATTCGGCACAAAATCGCAAACGTCTAGCGCCGCCAATGCGCACTCTAGTTATATACACCTCAATGGTCCTATCACTATCAGACATTTCTTGACGCGCAGTTCTTACCACTTCATGGCAGCTCTTGCCACGAACCTACCGCGGCAGCTCTTGCCATGGTTTTATAGCGCTATTCAGTATTTAGTAATCAGTATTAACGGTATATTCACAAATTATTGTACCAGATTCAAATTGATCATGTGGAATTATATCTACCCAAACCCTAACCCTAACCCCAAATCCATCGAAACTGTCTACATAGAAAAAACGTTCCAATTTACCCAATATTTGTCACCATAAGGGACAGCCCTCTCTTTACGTCCCAACTGCCGTGGTTACGGCAGCAAAATTTTACCTGCCATTGGTTTTTAATTTGCTGCCGCGGTAACGGCAGCTCGTCAGGGTTGCCATATTAGCTTTTTTAACGCCAAATTTGCCATTTTTTGCTTTTTTCAAACGCGTTTGGCGTCAGAGTTTCCGTTTGGCTTTTTGGCGTTTTTTTGGCTTTTTTGAGTCTACTTTAGTGTCTATCATTAAAATTACATGAAATACAATATTTAGTGTGTAACAATAGTCTATTGCTTAGCTACTTAACATTTTGGATTTCCCCGAGCATCGATTTCCTTGTTTATTACTTTAACGCTTAACCATAACCAATAAGAAATAATTGCAGTTTCTGCAGCCGCTCAGACAGATGTTCAAGCAGGGTTGTGAACATTACCTCGCTTTTTCTAGTTTTGCGTGTTATTTGTCAGTTTTTAGTTCTGTTTCCAAAAAATAAATTTTCATTATGACTTAGGATATGTGGAGCTTTGGTATAGTTGCAGTAATCAAAATTTAGTCCCACGAACCATGTGATTAACTACGCTAAAATTAGCTATCACATTATCAGTAGTCAGTCCCTCTGTCTGCCTGCAAGCGGCACGTGATTAGATAATTTTTTAATAAAAAATTGATTGTTTCAAAATTTGAGAAATGAAAAGTTATTTAATAGTAAAGTACGAAATAGGGAGAAATTTTCAAGGTATATCACAAGTTTAAGTAGAAACATGTAGGTATATCACATTCTGGAGCGGCACCCTGTATAATGTATTGTATATAATACATTGTAAAATAATGCTGTCCGCTTGATATTTATTTTTATTTTTTTTAACTTTTCATATAGATGTCACAGTGTCGGCTTGACTGCATTGTGTAGAATAAAGATTCTGGTGCTGCCATTTAATTAATCCTTTTTAATTTTAAACCCTTCATCCCGCTGAAGTGGAAATCAACGCGATAGCGACCGAAAATACAACTTTAAATAAGGGCAAAAGACATTTGTGTGGCTCACTAATGAACTGATGGCTATACATCAACACAGTGGTGGCGCGTCAATAGGGCCAACCGGGGCAATGCCCCGGTTGTTTTTTCGGTATAATAAAAAATATTCGAAAAATACCTCAATATCGGTTGCACAGACTGTCTACACTAGCCATATTCTCCCGACATGGTTCATTTTTCGCTCGCAAAGCCTTCGCCGAACGTCGACGGGGCGACGCCGATTTTGCCCCGGTTGCTCATTGTATATCGTATTCTCTCTTTTATCTTCCACTCGCCGCGTTTGTCTCGTTTGTTTTCTGTTTCTTTTACTAAATCATCGGGGCCGATCGGGGCTAGCCCCGAAATTGTGACGACACAATGCCGACGTTTCTTACAACAACGTGTTGACATATTCACGCATTCCTTCTCGTTCGTTGGTTGCTTGAAGATTTGATAGTTTCCTCGCCTTCGTTTTTGTCGCTTGTTTCGCTATTTGAATCAGTTAGAGACCTTTAGTCCATTTGCTTTCTATTTTCCACATTCTTTTTGAGCTCCTCACTTCTTTCCCGGCTTCGCATTTCTTAGCCTTAGACCTCATAATGAATAAGGTTGATGCACTACTTCGCACTTCCGTTTCGCAGCTGCCGCTGGAACAAAATTTAGAGGTACAACGTCTTGGGCCTTATCAACCAAAAATTGTTCACTGGAACAATCCCATGACGGAGGAAAGCGTCGGCGTACATCTGCGCAGAAACTTGGTATAAAAAACACGAATGATTGTGTTACAGCGAGGACAAAAATGCACTTTTTTTGTTTTTATTGCCTACTTTTTGCTACCGCCCGTGACTCACGTTGGTGTAAATTTGGTTTTAGAGATCTTAAACATCTTTCCGAGCGTGCCCAGGGATCATCAATCTTTTATGGAGCATCTGGACAATGCAGTAAAATACCGAACATTCGGAAATGTTAATATTGCAGCACAGTTGGATGAAGGACGCGCGGTTTCTATTCGTCGGCACAACCAAAACGTCGAGAAAAACCGCCATGTTCTCGGTCGATTGATAGATGTTTAAAGTTTATTGGTTGTCACGAGCTGTCCCTCCGTGGGCACGATGAACGGGCTGGCTCTTCTAATAGAGGGGTATTTTTGGATATGGGTGGAATACACCGCCATCCCTAGATACAGTATTGAGAGATCATCTTGATACCGCAACTGTTTCGAAAGGGACATCTAAGGATATCCAAAATGATTTGCTCGACTCAATGTATAAATTTATTTACAACATTTGGCTCTGGAAATTGAGAATTGCCAGTTCCTTTCGATTCAGTCTGACGAGACAACTGACATCACGTGCGTTTCCCAACTGGCTGTGATTTTTCGGTTTGTGAAAGATGGTAAACCTGCCGAGAGATTTCACAGCTTTGTACCAATCGTTGATCGCACGGCTTGCGGGATATCGGCTGTACTGAAAGAATGTTACAGCCTTACAAAACGCGAAGTCAAAATTGAATAGCTCAAACTTATGACGGCGCGGCAGTCATGAGTGGGTCGAAACATGGTGTTCAAGTTTATATAAAAGAAGATTTTCCTCATGCGCATTTTTTACATTGTTATGCACACCAATTTAACCTCGTTATTAAAAATATGTGTCTTGATACCCCTCTCGTCCGTATATTTTTTGCAAATGTTTCGGGGTTTTCTTCATTTTTTTCCGTTTCGCCGAAGCGCTCTGACCTCCTTCGCCAGATATGTAGCCGCCGTCTCCCAGCTTGTGCACCAACACGTTGGAACTTCCAATCACGCGTGGTGCAGGGCGTGTCCGAAATTAGGTCTGAGCTCATTGAGTGTTTCAATGGCATTCAGAGCTCTCCGGTTTGGGACGAACGCTCTGTGAGGGAGGCGGCAGGTCTAAAGCGTCTGCTAGAAGATGGTGAGTTTTCATTTTTTCTCGCTTTTTTCTCCACAATATTCTATCACGTGGATGTATTATACGGCGCATTGCAGTCAAGGCTAATGGATGGAGCGTCTGTGCAGTCGTGTATTTCAGACTTCTGCGATGCTGTATCTCGTATCCGGGAAACAATAAAATACGACGACACATGGAGTGCTTCTTTACGCCGCGGGCAAACAACGCAGCGTTTGATTTTGTCTGCAAAGGAATGCTGTGACATTCTGGTGAATCAAATAGGCGATCGTCTGCGCACTGAACACCTTGCCGCGTTCTCTTTGATGAACCCCAAAAATTTTTCAAAATTTGCACGTCAATTTCCCATCCATTTGTTGGCTACTGTCTCCAAATTTTACCCCATGATAAACGTGGGTAAATTGGAAAATGAATTGCGATGTATATACACCAATCAAACTTTTTTGAACATCACATCAACTTGCGCGCTCTATGGGTTCCTCATAGATAACACTCTAGTAACTACCTTTGCGGCGTCTGCAAAATTTCTGGACATCATTTTGACGACGCCTATTTCTTCCGCCGACGCAGAGCGAACATTCAGCACGCTGAAGCGTATTAAAACGTATCTCAGAAACACATGAAGCAAGATAGATTAAATTCCTTGGCTGTTTTATCCATTCACAGAGACCGTTATTTCTGGGATGCATGACTTTAATCAGCGCGTTATTGAGCATTTTGCTTCCAAGAAACCGCGGCGTGTTGCATATATGTTCAAGCAGTAGAAGTCTAGCAGCATATATATCTATGAGTGAGCGACGCATGTCCTTATCTTTGCATTACTTTCCTTTTTTCATAGTAACGTTTTAAACCTTATTTTAGGTTTTGTCTGCTTTCCCGAAGTTTCTGTTAATATGTCATTGTATTTATCTGGGTAAATATTGCCTTTCCTTTTGAAAGAGGTTTCAAAATAAACTATGTCTATATTTATTAATCCATTGACTTGGACCGGTTTTAAAGACACTTTCTTATCGTTAAAAATTGTCGCTTTTGCCGATTGGTTGTTACCGATGGAATGTTTTTTATACTCATAAAATGATGGGAGAACTTACAGCGCTCATCCTGTCCCCGTAGATGGGGGTGACTTGGTCCCGCAGTAGCTTGCCCCGGTTGTCAAAATGACCACGCGCCGCCACTGCTGATCAACATCATTATTGTGCCAAGGGCTTCAAATCTGACTAATTATGGGGCATTTGTACTTGGTTAAATTGTTGGCTTTTTCTGGCATTTTTAGGTCTTGATTTGGCTTTTTTTGATCGCTGGGATCTGGCAACCCTGCAGCTCGCTATTGGTTTGTGGCAGCTAAAAAGTCAGTCGCCATAGGTTTGGCCGTAGCGACCACGGTATGGAAATACCGCCATGGTTTTGCGGCAGCTGCAGACGCCACAGAATACCTAAAACTGCACTTGCATTTCTTTCGCTCAGACAAATATTCAAGCATGGTTGTAAACGGCGTGGTATTTTCAGTTTTCGATTGTGTTTCCCCAAAATGAGTTGTAAATTAAATGACCTAAGTGTCATTATATCTTCGAGGAGGCTTTAGTTTCGTTGCAATAATCCAAAATTAGTATCAAAAAAGCTGCGATAGACTAGGCTAAAATTTGCTATCAGTAGGTCTACTTGTGAGCGGCACGTGGTTAAATATTTTTAACAAAAATAATGGTACCGAACCTGTTTATAACGATAACCCAAAACAATATCAAAATAAGAATCAAAATTATGCAAT